GACTGTTCTCTAGATTTCTTATCTTATTCTGGTCAACCAATCTAGATTTTGGTAGGTTTTTGTGTTCAGCTAGTCTGACTGCCCCTGTTCTACTACTTTAACCTATGTATTTGACCTGACAGTCATTACAGACAGGGTATTAGAAAAACTAAATTGTTTTGTTTTAAAGGCTCCACAGTATCCTTTAGCTGACAAAGCTTATTTCTAATTTAACTGATGACGTTTCGAGTGCAAACTATTGCTCATATTCACATCAAGTCACTAACGCTCATTCTTTTATTAATGACTGCAATAAAAATTCTGACTATTTTAAGGTAGTATGTATATACCACTGATCTATATGAGTAGTTGAAAACTAGTTGTGTTTGCTAGTCAGATGGTCGTTTCACTTGTATGAAGTCACATTTCTACTGATTAGTGCTTACATCCAAAAAATAGTAGTAGGGTAAAGAGTACCACAGCTGAGCGTAATAATTGTAGTAAAAACAATTTTATTCAAAATCATTTCTTAGCAATATGGATTCCTCACGATGTTTACTAACCGTCATACAGCAATAAACAAATTTTTTTAAATGAAAACAAGTGATTCAGCTGAATCACATGTACTACGGGGAATTTTCCTTGAAATAGAAATACAAGACCTTCAAGCCAGCACTAAATAAAGAACAACGGGATTCTAAATTATTAGCTTCCCTTGTAGTATACGCTTCTGTGCATTAAATGCAAGTTAAACGGGATATATAATCTAATCTAATTTCTCACTCATAGGACGAAGCTGACCACTGAGAAAATTATTTTAAGAATTCAGTTATGCCTCACATCTACTATCTTTAAATTCCAAGGCAAAATATTTTGACAAACAGAAGGTGTAGCAATGAGATGGATCACCACTATCCCCTACCGTAGTAGATATATTTATGGACAGCTGGGAAAATATTGCTCTTAATACATTTAATCCTACTCCAGAAATATGGTGGAGATATGTGGATGACACTTTCACAGTGTTAGAAACAGAAACTGCCTCCAGTTTCTTCACACATATGGACTCACTAGTAGAGGGAATAAAATTCACATTTGAATCGGAAAATGAACAAGGAGAATTAGCTATGTTAGATTGTAAAATAAAACGAACAGAAGAAGGTAAACTGCACACTAGCGTTTATAAAAAGCCAATGCATTCTAGTAGATCTTTAGACTTTAATTCATTTCATCCGTTAACTGTTAAAGCAAGCTTAGTTAAGTGTCTAACAAATCGAGCAGTAGCACTAAGTAGTACAAGAAAAGACCTTAATGATGAAATAAAACAGAAAGAAGAGGCGTTGGTGTTAAATAACTATCCTTTCAAATTCATTAGGAATATCAGAAAAAGTCATAAGCAAAAGAAAAATAATGGGGAACCTAATAAGGATAAATAAGAGAGAATATAAGGCATCTACAGTTTTACCATATAATGAGTGGACGTCTAAGACCCTAAATAGGATTCTTGATAAAGTAGGAGTTAGGGTAGCATTCAAACCTACAAACTCACTCAGGGACAAGCTCTGTGGGCTAAAGGACCCGGTTGACCCAATTAGACAAAATAATATAATTTACAAAATACCCCACAATGACCTTGAGTTAGGTCAATTAGGTAGGTCACACTAGTAGATAAGGGGTAGTCAGATTGTCAGAACATAAGAATTTAGCTAAGGTAAGAATGGTTGACCCCGAGAAGATAAGTAATTTAGAAAAAAGCTCAGCAATTGCACTGCATGTATTAACACACAACCACACAATTGGATAGGAGAGGGTTAAAATTCTAGATAAGTGGAAAGAGAGGTTGATTACTGAATCCTTGTTCATTGAGTCTACACCAACACGTGCAATAGGATTGACTCATCACTCATACCGGAAATATGGAAAATATTACTAACAATGAAATCAAACAATGGAAAATAATCAAATTATATAAACGAAGTTAGAAAGTTGTGTGAGCACCTCGATACAATTATAAGCAATAAATTTTTCTCGAAAAGTTATCAGTAAATATTACTATGAGACCTATCAAAATAAATTTTACCCATAATGGAATTATCCTCTTCCAAACTGCACCAGTTTTATTCTTATATCAACTTCCTTAAGGCTTTTTTCGCTTGTACTGATATTGCTGATGTCAGTGACCTGAAATTTAACCTTTTGATCTTGCTAACTGTTTTTATCAACTGATAAACTTGTCCTTTGTTTAGTTACAAATTGACCTCAGTACAAGGCTTTTAGGGATTCTGTGGCACTCTTTGTGTTTCTCCTGTTAAAGACATTTAATCATTTCCAGTGGAACTGATGCTCTTGGCTCTACACATGAATTCGTGTAAAACAGCATATGTGATGCCTTTTGACTGCTAGTTTGTGTTCACCAGCGCAAAGGTATGAATTGCTTCACCTCAGTCAGTATTTCAGTGTGTGATATGTCCTTACAAACATAAATGATGATAAGGGTCAGTTACAGATTCAAAAGTAGAGTAGTAATTTTAAAGAAGTCATGTTTACAATACTTGTTATCCTTTTCTTTATTCAAAATACAACAAGTTATTAACGTCTTACTTTAACTTACTAACATCATTATCATTTAGAACGTACAAGGTATCTTTAAAAGCTATTATTCCTAATTAAACCTAAACTTAAAGGATGATTTGAAGTAAATAGATCAAAGTGATAGAACTTAATTTGACTTTGGACAGAGTAAGGGTGATTCTTTTCATCCAACTTTTAGCTACTTTATCCTTGTAAGTACACAGTGAATGCCTCTCACTGACCATGATTATTACAAACTAAAGTGGAGACGAGCACTTCTCCATTTCATTTTTGTTAATCAATAGATGATGATGGAAATATATGATTAGTTAGTCATATTACTATTCATTTCTTGAATTCTTAGAGGAAAATAGGAACTTAGCAAGATGTATTCACAATGCAGCCATTTTTAGCTGGCTCCACGAATATACACCGGCTTTCCTTTCCAGCTGGTATGATCTCCTGCATGTCACCGTAGAAAGCCTAACTCGTTTCTTCCCATTCAGATTCCACCACTGGACGTGACTAGTGTGTGACGTCAACTAGCAGTCTCCTCAGCATATTTCCAACCAATCTCCATTTGCTTCTGCACATTTGTTGGTTGTGCCGTAAATAGGTTGCTTGCTGGTTTGTAAAATACCAGAGTAGCTTCTTGCTTCCTCATCCTTTCCTACCAGTCATCGCATAGAAATTATTGAAGCCGTGAATGCACATGTTGGTTCTGTAAATCCCTTAACAGTGTAAACCATTGCTACGACGTTTGTCTTTCCGTGAGGCAATTTATTTCCATATTATTCAAATCTCCATAAATTCAACAACTCAAAACAATAAAACTCTGTACCGAAGGTATTTGATCCTAAGATTTGTCTTGGAGTAAGTTGGAATTATACTTAATCTATAGTATTCCTAATTCCGAGGCACATGCAATATTAAGTCATTGATGCCACATAAAGATTGTAGTATTCAAACTTCCTGTCCCCTGAAACCTCAGTACTGGTTTTAGTTACTTAGTTTTTATACTTGGATTCCTACTACACTATGTATTCTTAAGGGACTGGATGGTTTGATTTGTTTTGTATTCAAATTCCTCAGGATGCGTTGGGTTATACGCCTAATTTGTTTTCGCGTTTCAACTAAAGGGAAGGTGAAGCAAACTTTTAGACTCATAAGCTAAGGTTTCAAACACCATCGTCTTCAAATCTCTGCCATGCGAACTCAGACAGCCCCATTCTAGTTATAAATATCGTAGGTGGTTCAGTGGTAGAATGCTTGCCGACCACTCACATGGTCCGGAGTTCGATTCCTGCCCGACGTACTACTTTGCCTCGTTTGTTCAGTATTAAGTAAGCCTGATGGAAAGGAATAGTTGGACGTGAGGTAAGCGGCTTTACTCCGTGAAAGGAATTCAAAAGAACGAGAAGGAAGAGAATTAAGGGATAACTGTGCAGTTCTGAGTTTTAATCCAGAACACTAGACAGAATAATACAGCTCTTTATCATCATGAACTGGGATCAACTTATGAACCTCTGAAAACCAAAACTATTTGATTGTACTACTAACTGTGCTTCTTTTATCAAATTCTCAGGTAGATGAGAATTATGTTGAAGCCTTTTCTTTCTTTCATTAAAGTAGCTAATTATATGCAGAAAACAGTGCAGAATCATTTTCAGAATAATTATCCAGTAATTTAATTCTCCCCTTCTTATGTAATGATGTTTGTCTGTGAAAAAATGTTAGTGTGTGTGTGTTTCTCCTATACTCATTTTAACTATCTCTAACAGCTAACTTCAGGAAATTACTACCATCATTCAAAGGTTTCACCGTTAGCCTGATGAAGAAATAATTTTGCCGTCATCAAATCACCCTGGATCAGAAAGAGGGAAGTAACCCTTTTATGATTGGTTGATGCACGTTATATCCTGAGATTATTGATCCAGTTCTCATTAGCATTTTATTCGCTACATCATAAATATACTTATTCTCATTTCCCAAATGACATGTCTCATCCCACTGCCTCATCTAGCATGTCTACAAACTACTTCTTAAGTTTAGCGATTGTTTGTTTGCATGTTTAGATTTGCTATAGAAAAATTTTATGCAGTCGTGAATACGTATGAAAATGCCTACTTAATGTCTGTATGTCTATCCTATTGTCTACCTTAGTGACAATTTAGATATGTGTATACCTTTCACCCCAAATATTTCTGACTTATATATATATATATATATATATATATATACGTAAGTATTCAGAAATACTGCCATTTAAAAACATGAGTGTGGTCGTAGCAGTGAAATCAGTTATTTGAAACATTTGGTGTGAAATACTCATTAGATAAAAAAAGAAACTCACGTACACACACTATAATAATGAACATTGCATAATTATTCAACGCTATAATGATAATTTGACGAGAGTACGCTGATCACATACTGTCAGACTGTAAACTATGTCCTGGAATTTATACTTTGCATATTTTTTAATAACTATTGCAATCTGTACAACGCATACTCTTTCCCTACCTTCAAGTGGCAAAAATTATGAGAGTTCTTTTCCAAGCATAAGAGAAGACATTGACAAGGATGGCTATGATAATGCTTTGAATAGTGAAAATGTACTATTATCATTAGCACCACTTTACAAGCCAATATCATCGTCAAAAGTGTCTACGACAACGGATACCCTATCAACTTTATCAATACCGAATGAAGAGGAACTCCTTCAGTTGCAATCAGCCCTGAGCGCACAAGTTACTTCTGAGATCACTAGAGCAATACAACTGGAGCAAGAGGCAAGTGAATCTGTTCATCAAGCTGAATCATTACAGAAAGCAGCTTTAGAGGCTAAAAACCGGGCTAAAGTTGCACGTGAAGTATTAAAGTCACTGAAATCACTGTGGAACAATGACAAGCGTGCTAACATTTTGGATGATGAATCCGATAAAATCAGGGAAAACAACATTATGGTACCAATCATAGATCATGATTACTTATTAGACGAACGAAAAATCGGTCCCATCGATAATGATTACCGAGCTGTCAACGAAGACATTTACGACAAAATAGCCCAGAGCCATAACTATGGAAATGATGAGGAAATGGTTAATTTGGAAGATACTACTACCAGTAGTCGATACAAGAGGCGAAAAAATTTGCCCAGTTTACCTAAAGAATTCATTCATTTTGATAATGATGACATTGACACTGTGGACTTACTGAAGAATTCTGAACAGAATACAAGACGTTTAAGCGAAGCGGAACAGTTAACACTGGAGAAGATACGTTTATATATATTGAAACAATTAATACATAAGCAAAAAGAGGAAGAAGGACTACTGGACGAACCATATCATCCTCGTCATCAGTCTGATATTGAAGACGACGATCACAATGATGCAGATAGAAATTCCTATGTAAACCATAGAAACAGATATTATCATAGTCGTCATACACGACCAAGCAACCTTGATTATCAACTTTCAGAAAGTGATTTACAACCGTGGCTAGTGATAAACAAGCCAGAAGATGATGAGAACTATGTGAATAGTGAAGATGAACCGCATATCTATGGAATGCCACGACATTTACTAAGGCAAGTGAATTTAAACACGATAAACAATGAAGATCCACTTTTATCCATATAAAATGTTTTCAGCTATATAGAAAGTAAAAGGAAACTGAAAAAACTCCGCGTCCCTTCATATATATATACATGTGCAGAAATGAACAAAAAATACACCAATTTGAATAATAAAAATAAAACAAAGTCACTTTCTCACTTTAACTTCTTTTCAATGGTCACGAAAAAGTAGTTCTCCATAAAGTAAGACATGGTTGTTGGATCTTTTATTGTTGAAGGCTTCAGTGGTATTGAGATTATTATCGCTTCATAAGAATGTGTATTTATTTGTCTGTGTTTATATACAGCTTTCTGTTACCATTTTAAACCTCCTTTATAATCAGCTCACAGTTGATAGTAAAGGTCTACCGGCTTCGTAAGTTTTACAATATGGTATTATGTGTGTAAATATATAATGCATTGAATAAACGTCATCTAAACACAAATACCAGTCCAAATTGATAGCTCAAGCCAACTGATCTATGTGATTAAATAATACAACTTCTCAAAGTTATGTATTTGATACCCTAAGTCCCTTTGGTATAAGTTTTATGCTCCATACTATTTGTTAACTCAGTGTCTTCCTGTCTTATTTTACTCGCCACATTTTTTTCAACGTTAGACAGGTCTTGTATCAGCTTTGGCCATACTCTTTCCAGAACCATATTCTTCAACTTCACGTAAATTCCTTTTAACGGTCTTACCTAAGGTGAATAATTCGCAATAATAAGAATAACAGTAGTAATAATAGCCATGGTATCGATGATTATCCTTGAAATAATACCATTGACTCTTGCATACACCCCTTTTTGTCTGTGGTCAAATTCCTCCTTCCTTTTTGAGGAACAGTGCTACCAAATCCAAACTAGCACTTTTCAGGTCAGAACTCGTTTATTTTCATTTTCAGCTGTTGCCATTTGGTGTCAAGTTTAGTTACTTAAAAACAAAAAATTGTCCTAGATAATTTCACTGTCTCAATAATCTAGTAGCATCTTCACTTCCCGTGTCCAGGACTCGTGTGTATGAACCATATGAAAGTCGTTCAAGTAATCCGTCAGTTGTTCAAGTCCTTCAATTCTGTACTTATGCTGCCATATCATAGATAACAGTATTTCGAAAACGGGTCGTGAGATCCATTATTTTATTTTATTTCATAGTGCTGCTGATTAGTAAGATATATACATATGTACATATATATACTTGTCATACTAAGTGTTTTCGGAGACTAGTACTTAAAAATGTAGCCTGCAAACCTCCTACACTCTATGTCTTTTTTGCTGACGTCTACATGATTAGTCAACTAAAGAGTGTGCAGAACTCAAAAATCACACAAAGTTGTTCGGATGGTACAAATAAGCTTCCAGTAGAAGGTCGGTGCCACTAGTTATTAATTATCTATCATAGGTGCTCATTCAATTTCAGCAAAGTATTCCCCAGATCGGGAAACAAAATTCACATCGTGATGTTATCATGCTGGAGACTGTAAATTCACTTTTTCCAGAAAGTACTTAAATTGTAAATATTTAATTGAATTGTGAGAATCACTATTTTGTTGTCTCAATGAAGGTACCAACAAAACTAGTGGGAGTCGAAAAATTATTTATTTAATCTGTCCCAACTATACAGTTCTAAAACAAATATGGTGATAGTCAAATAAAGAAGTTATGCTAGTTCGATACTAATAGCAATATAGATTTAAATAACGGTTACTCTGGATAAATTTAAATGAAAATCCTGAGATATGATGCACCTTCCAGGTTACTGAGCAAACAAATCAAGAAGTATGCGCTCTATTTCTGTTACTAAGCTAACTAAACTGGTTATTTGGAACGAAGAATATTTAGAACATTATCCTTATACCCAGTCAGTTGGTGATTACATTATCTTAAAAGAACAGACGTGGATTTCTGAGTACAAAATGCAACAAAAGGCGGTTGCGGGACGACATATACTTCTTTTTGGAAATTCGTTTGGAAATTATCACCGAAAATATTTTTCTTTTAACAGTTTAGAGCGAATGTTAGAGACTGATAGAAATTATTCCACATTACTTCAGAAAATCTTCTTTGGTAGTCAACAAATTAAGGGATTCCTTTCCTCATCCACCCATTTGTTTATCCAGCTAATATCGCGTGATCAATATATGCTAATCACGTGACAAATGTTGATCAGAGTGAATGACCGTGACCAAATCAATGTTAGCCAATGAGAGATGTGCAAGTAGCTTTAGAGTTGGCTGAATTGAGCAGGCTATTGATCGGACAAGAATTGTTTAGCTCCAAAATTATCGGATAGAAATTTCATTCATAAAGCAAACATAAAGTGAATGTAGCCTAATTTAAATTTGATTTAACCATAGACTTTCAATGTGATTACTTTGCGTTCATCAATCTCTTCTGCTACGTTTCTTACATACAAGTAGGTTAGACATAGACAAAATTTACCCATAATAGGTTAGACATACTTCGCCTTAGGTCTTTTAACTTTCGTTAAAATGAATTACTGGGAATCACAAGACCTTAAAATGCTTGATCCGTAATTCACTTTAATCTCCTAGATACATTTGAATAGAATTAAATCAGTCATATGAACAAAATCACGACCTTAAGTTCAACAGATTTGTCTGAACTATCCACATATTTATATCCAGACAGTTAGTTAATTCTTAACATTTGTAACTGTAGTACTGGATAACGCAGGTTTGAATCTGCCAGTCGACATCTATTCATTGGAGGCTGCAGACGCTTCCTGATGATGAACGCCAGTAAGCATGAAACTTAGGTTTAAAGTGGATTGCGTTGACAGGTCACCTTAGTGATGATACGGCAAGTTTGGTTGACAGAATTCATTCAGTGTCAACATTAAGGACTAGATGCATAAAAGTGATTACCCCTCCCCTCCCCTCCCAGTGACAGTTCAGTGTAGGAATCTTGTGATCATTGGTCATTTTGCCCATAAAGAACAATTGGAAAGAGCATTTTAGATGAGTAAAATGGCAGCAGTTTTGTTTTTCAAAAAAAAGGGAAAAAACGAAATAATATAATAAAAAGTGTTTAAAAGTACTTTTCATTGAACGATATAGTTCAGGAGCCTATAAAGTCGTCGTCATCGTAGGCAGATTATCGATAACGCGAAAATTGATCAAACTACTATATACCTATATGTTTATATTTTAGGTCTTCTCATAATTTTATGTAAATATGCTACTCTGTTAATGAAATCAGGATTGTACTGCAATCGTGTTTTTACACAAATATTGTGTCCAAAGTTTAAAGTTAGTCATATTATCAGTAGATATGTATCAATGAAATCTATTGTAAAATTATCAACTAAAAATGCTCAGTAATAGTTGTAGTGAAGTGTATGTTACTAACAGTCAGGTATGAGTAGTGTATTGAGTAATGATGCCAGAGAAGAGATGATAATTTATATCACTGGGATAGCCAATGAAAAAGAAACACCAGAAGAAGGTTACAACTCCGAGAAGAACCTAATAAGCAACAGACAATAGATGATATTCGCAAATTTTGAAATCGATGGATGGTTATAGATTTTCTTACTATCCAATAAACAATAATTCTATTTTTACCAGTCTCTTACTCCTCAGTACTTGTTTTCGAAATGACTGAAGTTGCACAGTGGCAAACCAAAATCTGAGGATGAATGGGCTTCTAATTCACTTGTTAAATTACTTCTTAATAACTAGTGCAGCTGAAAAATTGCTGCTTTCCATTTATAAAACTGATGGGATAGAGAGAAGGCAAGTAGTTGCGAAGTAATAACTGATATCTAGGATCTACCATGTTCAACACTTATGCACAAGATATTGTTCCGTAAGGACGAGAGACATGCAAATAGTTTTACTTTCGAATTAAGGAGCATAATCTAAATAGTCATTACTTCATTTATTTTAACACAAAAATATTCTTTGAATGCTTAACAAGTTTGTTAAAGAGCAATATGACGCTGTCAAGTGTGACTTCTGATAAAAAGTCATTTATTTTTAAATTTATGTATTGTGAGAAGAACCCAATATCTATAGGTTGTAAATATTGTTTATGATGCTTAAGAGAGAAGCCATATAAAGTTAATACGCACAGGACATTTCCAGTTTTAATTTTACAGTAAGACTTTTTATCAACAATTTCAAACAAATTTTCTGCATGAGATTATTAAAGGTTTGATGGATTCAGAGTACGAATACTAGGCTAAATCTCGGACTTTCCTATCAATGAAAGGATAATAAACGTTCACAAAAATGAACTTTTAATAGTTCATACGTAAATCTCATTATTACGTAGACTGCATATCAAGAGTGCTAATCAGTGTGATTAATTCAGCAGAGTTGTTGCTATACGCTGCTTTTTAGTGGGGTGACTTTTGTGCGTGCATATTTTTAAAGATATTGTTAAAAAAACAACCTCTAAATTCATCGTTTCACTTACAAGTCATTTTATTCACTCCGATTATCAGTTTCAAACACTGAGTTTCTAGTTAGTATCAGCACAAATGCAAAGTAGGGAAACTACCTGTGTATATTCGCAGGGGAAAATACCCATCAGGAGAATAGAGAGAAAAGGACAAATAACTCAGTAGAGATATCCTTTCAGTGACTTCATCCTCAAAAGTAGCTGTAGAATCGCATTTATATACATACAATTATTATTTAATTCCACATAATAACGAAAGAGGAGATTGGTGATAATAATTTCCAACTTGATATGGAAGTTCTACGGTGTGGATATAGATTACAAGGGGTTTAGAAACAAAATTACGCAGGATTATAAACTAGTTTTTTCTAATGAATACGGAGATGAATTGGATAGGCGTGGAAACAAACTGAAATAATGCTTTTTATAAATGAAAAAGGGAAAACGTGAAGGGAATGAATAAACAAAACACAAAAATCGAAAAGTAAGGGATGAAACAGAACTAAATCCATGGTAAATGTACAGATTGAATTTTTTGATGCATATGGTAGTACAGAAAAGTCGAATACATACTGCTTTTGGTAGATTTTTCTTC